GAACTGTTGTTAGGGCACACAGCTCTTTCCCAAATTAGAAATCTTTTTTTTTTTTTTTTTTTGGTACTGGGGATCAAACTCAGGATCTTGTGCTTACAAGGCAGATGCCGCAACACCGAGCTAAATCCCCGGCCCCTACATTAGAAATCTTACCAAGTGTTTAATAGTATTTCTCTTGGAAGATACACTCCCAATTCCAAGTCATGCAGTTACCCCCACATTTTTGGAATACAGTTTATTAGTAAATTGGACAAAGGACATAGTTCTGCAAACAATGTATTCTTTTACATCTTAAGAAGAACAAGAGTTGGTTTATGGGCTAAGTGCTTGACTCAGGTATGGCGTCAGCCTCTGTCTGTGCTTACCTTTTATGTACAAAGCTGAAGACTCAACATAGAATGACAGGCAAAGGTCGTGTCGCCCTTGCAGTCCTCCTCTAGCTGTTAGCGTGAGATGTTCTGGTGTAGGAAATACTTGTAACCATGAAAACTAGAATGTTTTAGGGTACATTTGAAGAGATAGTATAAAGTGTCTCGGCTAACAGGTTTAAGTAAATGTTTACTGATGCTTTTAATTGTACGCTCTTCCAAAATCTGGTTTACTAATTTAGTCAGTTTTCAAATTAAAATTTAATAATGCCTTCTCAAAATTTTTGTTGTATTTGTCTTAATTTTCAATTAAGAAATGGGGCAGCGTATCAAACCAAGGCCAATAAAGAAGTCAGAATACTTGTTTTTAAGGCAGCTTGAAGAATACTGATCGGGAGACTAGTTCCGAATTTCGGTCCTCTAGGAAGACTACCAGCAGGGAATCTGTCTGTCGCGAATCGGAAGTGGGGTTCACGTCAGGGCAGTGCCGTGACAAAGCCCCTGGCTCTGAAACCGCCACCAACTGGGGCTCGCCTGGGCCCGGGCAGTGCCCAGTGTGCCCGGCGGAGTCCTTGCTGTTAGTGTGGTCAGGCAGCACTCAGGCCCAGAGGACCAGGACGCTCACTGTGCTCGTGACTTCTCAGTTCCTTTGCCAGCTGTGCTCTTGGTTTACATGGTATTGCTGTACCCGGACCCTCACGAACACCACGGAGACCCTCCTTACTACCATTGCTCTTTCCTACTACCCTCTGGAAGGCTCCAAGTCCACAAACAGGTGAGCTCTTACCAGCTGTGCCCGAAGAGAAACACAGAGCTACCTCGTACTGTGGTACCCAGGAGGCTGCCTGCCCGGTCATGGATGTCCCTCGGCCAGAGGCGGGGAACTCTAAGCCAGTAGTTAAGGAGAACCTGGTAGGAAGTTGGTTCTCAGAGGTGCAGGCTGCAGGGCGGGGCATCTGGGGAGCTGCAGGGGATAAGGCCTCAGGGAGGTGACGTGGAGTAGTAACTGCCGAGATGTCCTCCCCTTCCCAGAGCCAGTGACGAGGGACAGACAAGCTGAAGACAGCCCTTGTGTGACCCGGCACACGGCCACGGGCAGAGCCCGTGGGAGCCAGCACAGCTGCAGTGGGAGTGGAGGGCAGGCAGGACTGGCCTGCTCCGGAGTAGGGCTCCAGTCCAAGAGAGCGAGGCAGTCAGGCCTGAGTGCTTTCCAGCGGCAGCGCTGAAGGGAGTGAGGGCCGGGATGTGGCTCAGTGGCCGAGTGCCGACCTAGCACATAAAGCCCGAGGTTTGAACCCAGCACCACAGAGGAGGAAAATGTCTGGCTGGGATATACTGCAGAGGGAAAGCCAGAATTTGGGAGTCTAGTTAAAACTAGCCAGGCGCAACCTGTAAGCCCAGTTTCTCAGGAGGCTGAGGCAGGAGGCACTGGAAGAGCCGAATGTGGCAGCCGATGGAGCTCTGGTGCCCACCTCCCTGTGGCATGGACACTTGTGCCTCGGACTTGGTGGCCAGAGTCAGTGTCGCGTGGGCTGCCCGTGTGACAAGGATAGAGGCAGCAGCGGGAGGCGGAGGGAAGGGCTGCGCCTCTGCCTGGGAGTCTGGCTCCTGCCTCAGCCCCGCGCTGCAGTGCTCTCGGCTTCTGTACTGTTCTCGCTGCCATGGCCCAGTGGTACCTCATGCTCCCTGGGGAGGGGTCGGTGGGTCCCCCCAGGGCTGGGTGCTGGCTGGGGTGCAGCTCAGGGTCCGAGACTGTCTGGTCCCTGCAGCGACGTTAAGAGCAGCCGTGGCTCCGGAAGGGGGGCAGCCGGTAGAGCTGTGACGTTAAGACTTAGTTACTGTTCAGTTCATAGGACCGCCATTAAGACATGGGATAACTTACTTGAAAGTACTAGAAGTAGGATATTTGAGCTACAAAGACTTCAAGTGTTACCTCCTTTTCAAGATGAGAAAAACTAATACCCAGGTAATAGATGACACCTGCCCGAGTCTATATAGCTAAAGGGAAAACGCTGTCTTCTTTCTTTTCTTTTTTTCTTCTCGGTTTTGTTGTTGTGCAGTACTAGGAATAAACCCAGGGCCTTGCACAACCTGGGATGTAGTGCCACGCCTGAGCCACATCCCTAGGGCTTTTTAAGCTTCTGTTTTGAGACAGGGTTTCACTAAGTTCCCCCAGCTGGCCTTGAACTTAGGATCGTTCTGCCTCAGCCTCCCAGATAACTGGGAACACAGGCACATGCCATCATACCTGGCAAAATACTGTCATTTAATTTTGAAAATTTAGCTTACAGCGTGACTAGGGCCACTTCAGAATGACTGTCCCTCCTTCCTTTGTGCAGCATGAAGTACGCCTCCCTGGTGGCCCTGGCCTGCCTCGTCCGCCCCACAGCCATCATCCCGTGGGTCCCGCTGTTCTTCAGACACGTGTGGCAGGAGCCTGCGAAGCACCGCCTCATTCTGCATTGCTTTTTCCCTGTTGGGTAAGCCTGGCTGCACCACCCCGGGTCCTGACGTGCGGGTGACAGATTGTGAATAAGGCTGCATTTTCCAGTGTGTAGGGCTTTGTTTTGTTTTTTAGTGATTCTAGGAGCCAAGGACCTTTGCACTGAGCTGTCGCTCCAGCCATCAAATTTGCTCAATTACTCCGGCTGGGCCTGAGCTCAGTCCTCCTGCCCCAGCCTCCCAATGCTGGGATCACAGGTGTGCGCCCCACACCCAACTTCACTTAACTGTCTTCTAACGGCATTGAGTCCTCCGTCCAGGACACAGAGCCTCACTGAGCGTCTGTCCGCGTCTGTGATACGGCTTAGGTGTTAATTTGTTTAGCCACGTCTTCTGCTGTGTCTAGTGCAGCGCTTCCGCAGGCTTTGCCTCCCATGTGTTCCGCACGTGTGCTGTCAAGGGCCCTGCTCTTCCACACTGAGCAGGCTCAGTGAGACCGACCGTTCTGGGGCGTCGCCCTGCTCGCGTCTGCCCAGAGGCAGTGGAAACAAGCAGGAAATGCTGGGCCCTGAACACGCCTTCACACTGTGACCCCAGCCCTGACCCCAAGACGTGGAGTGGACAAATGCAGGGCCAGGGAGCAGTGGAGCAACCTCAGACACCATGGGATGAGCAGATTCCGGGCTCCCAATGAGCTTGGCAGAGTCTGCGGGAAGCACAGGAAAGAACAGGCGGCCAGCAAGCATATGAGGCGGTAGGGTGCGGCGGGGTCCGTCCCTCCTCAGTGCTGTTGCCAAGTGAGCCTCCATGCACAGCTCCAGACCTGAGCTGTGCCACGGTCTTTCCAGAGCCAACACCTTTGACAAATACCAACTCACGTCCAGACTGCGCCAGTCTCCCAACACAGGAGCCAGGCAGGAGGTGCACGCCTATCATCCCAGCGCTGGGAGGCTGAGGCGGGAGGATCGCCCAGAGTCGAGGCCATCGTTGGCTACACAGTGAGACCCTGTCTCTAATAAATAAATGCAGAGGAAACTCTTCAGTTACTTTCAGGAAACCGTCTACCAGGCTGCATGATTCTCACTTTGTACTGAACATTGGGGAATCTAGAAAATCACCTTATAATCTACAGTAAGAGATGGAGGAAACAGGAGGGCTTGAGGGACAGAGCACCGGTTCGGTGTGGCCAGTTCTCCCTCAGCTGGGGAGCGGGTGTGTGTGCGTGTGTGGGCATGTGCGAACTGTGAGCTGGTTCTAAACTTTGCAGTGGCCCAGAAGAGCTCGGGGGCTTGTAGTGGGGTAAAAGTGGGAGACTGCGAGCAGATGCGAACGGTGCTTACAGAGGTGGAGGAGACAGCAGAGGCCAGGTGTGCACACAGTGCAGCTGTGTGAAGGTGATCACAGCACAGAGGAAGAGGGAGAGAGCCGGCTGCTCAACAAGTCGTATTTCTCACAGAGAAAACCAAACAAACTCCGAACCTTTGTTCATCAGACTCACTACTGAGTGAAAAAGCAAGCCACAGGTCAGAAGACGTGTGCAAGCTGTATAATCGACCCAAATCTCATATTCAGCCTAGACTCAAAATCTTGCAAAAATCTACAGGAAAAGACAGCGCAATAGCAAACTGATCAAAAGACCTCAACAAGTACTTAAAATATGTGGATGGCCAGGGAGGGTAATGCTACTCAAGTACCCACAGCTGAGCAGTAATCCCAGCACAAGGGAGGCAGAGGCAGCAAGACCATGAACTTGGGGAACAGCCTGGATTACACATGAGACCCTGTCTCAAACAAAAACAGCTAGGTATAGTGGACCATGCCTATGTTCCCATCCCTCTGGAGGCTGAGGCAGGAGGATCACCACACATTGGAGGCCAGCGTGGTCTACATAGTGAAACCGCCTCAGAAAAACCAAAACAAAGCAAACACAGAGCCACCGTGACGTTCTCCTCCTAACAGACACGAGCAGCTAAAAACAGTGTAGCGCTGTATGTGCACGCGTGTGTTGCTAGGGGACGTGAGCTGGCACACTTGGGAAAGCTGTGTATCTATAGCGGCCAGGGTTCTCACTGGCGGTTCCAGGTCCAGATGTGTGCCCAGCAGAAATCTGTTTATGGGAACCAGAGATTTGTAGAATTTGAGTAGCAACTGTGTAGTTGCTGAAAATGGGAAGTGCTGTGTACGCCAGCTGAAGAGCCGTGCGGTCCAGGGGTTACTGGGCCTTGCAGTAGAAACCCAGGATGTGCGCGACTCCAGCCCTGCAGCACCCGGAGTCCATGTGCCTGCACCGTGCCGAGAGCCGAGCACCTTTGTCACTTGTGTTGAGGACAGGTGGAAGGTGTGTCACCCTCGGGAAGACTGCGGGCCCCACGTTTGCATTTAGGTGCCAAGGTTGGGATACTGCGTGGCCACAGCAAGTGTTTCTTAGAAAGTTTGCTTCAATGTGTCTCCTCAGTCAGAGCTTTCAAAATGCCTTCTGTATCTGCAGATGAGACTGTAAAGTGTTCTTACAGCGGCTCTTGGTGCAGGGCATTTGGAAACTCCAGGCTTCCTCAGATTGAGTCACCGTTCTGTTTTGTTTTCCAGGTTTGTAACACTGAGTCTGTCTCTGGTAATTGATCGTATTTTTTTTGGCCAAGTAAGTAAAAAGATACTAAACTAGCAGCAGTTTTTATTTTAATCATTAATTGTACTGATAAGTAGATTTTTAATCCATTAGTATTTTAGAAAAAAGCCTTTTAAAGAATGATATGGAGGCTGGGGATATAGCTCAGCACACCTGCCTCACAAGGTCCTGAGTTCAGTCTCCAGTACCAAAACAGAATGATATAGATCTGTTGAAAAAGCCTGACTGGGCCAGGGCTCAGTGCTTCCACCACCTGCCTTCCAAGTGCAAGGACCAGAGTTCGATACCAAAAGAAAGAGCCTGACCATGTTTCCGGCTGTGCCTTCCACCAGCACTGTAGCAGCTTCAGAAGATCCCGTCTGTGGCAGAGCTCACCTGCGCCTAAGGTTGGCAGCAGTGAAAGTGAGGTTTCCTAATGACCATTGGCCCCACAGTCGTCCACAGAACACAGTAGCTGAAGTCTTCTATCCTGTCACTTAGTTTGAGATTTTCATCTTGCAACTGCAAGTGATTACCCGCTTCCTTTCTCGCAGTACTGGGGATGAAACTCAGCCTTCACTGTGCCCGTCCCATCCCCACCCCACACCATTCTGTGCGACTGGGTCTCACAGTCACTGAGTCGCCCAGGCTGGGTTGGAACTTTCGATCCTCCTGCCTCAGCCTCCCAGAGTGCTGGGATTATAGGCATGCACCACCATGCCTTGCCTTTGGGTGTTTTAAAATTCTCTTTCCCTCCCAGGGCTGTCCACCATTTGAAGCCTAGTTCTCTCGTAGCAGCTATACGATCTGGGATGTTTTGGACCTTTCCTGCCATGGTTCTTTGTGGGGAAGAGGCAAAGAGGCAGCGCAGGTGAAATGCTTGCCCTGTGCCTGCAGGAGGGCACACTGTGGCATTACTGTCCCTGCATCCCCCGTCGCAGACTCCTCTGCCTCCAGGAACTGGAGCAGAACTGTCATGCGGGCTCACAGCCTTGAGGGAAGGGCACTGTTCAGTAGGGGTTTCTGTGGATAGAAAGCCTCCGCTGCCACAATGTGTGAGCACCCACCTGGGATTTCTGAGATCCCTCGTACACCTCAGGTCTAGGGTTTCACAGGTTCCGAGTGCATCAGTAACCAGAAGGAAAGAGAGGGTGTGTTCATGCAGCATTAGAATTACAGAGGGGAACGGGGCCTGGTTTCAGTCTCTGCCTCGGTGCCAGACAGTGCCCACTCTGAGGCTTTTCATTTTTCTTCTTGCACGACAGTGGACACTGGTGCAGCTCAACTTCCTGAGGTTCAACGTGCTGCAGGGCGTGGGCAGCTTCTACGGCTCCCACCCGTGGCACTGGTACCTCAGCCAGGGGCTCCCGGCTGTCCTGGGCCCCCACCTGCCCTTCTTCCTCCACGGCTGTGTGCGAGCCCCACAGCGCTGCAGGAAACTGCTGGTGCCCGTGCTGTGGACGCTGCTGGTGTACAGGTAAGAGCGCACTTGGAGCTGGGCTCAGCATCGAGGGAAGTGAACAGATCGGGCCAGGTGAGTGCGGCTCAGAGCACTCGCCTGGTGTACATGAGGTCTGGGCTGCGTCCCCAGGACCTCATAGAAGTAAAACCGAGACCCTTACTGCCATGCGCTGTGAGCAGCAGTAACCAGCTGGGCCCAGAGCGACAGTATGCTTCCTTTCTCACTGAGCAAACTGCTCCAGACTGGGGTGGCAAATCCATGACACACGTGCCGAAGGCAGCTGTTAATGAAAGCTCCAGGTTTGCCATCACTGCTCTAGAGAAACACTAAACACTAAGGATCGAGGGCACAGAAATCTGTAGGTGTGCAGTCAGGCCCAGACATGGAGTCCAGTGCTGGCGTTGAGCGAGAGCCCGTGTCTCTGCCCCTCGCCACCCTTCAGCCAGTGCAGCCTGTGGGGCTCCCCGGCCCCTCACCCTCAGGTCCCAGGGGTGCTGTTGGTGTCACCTTGTCACTAAAAAGGGGGTGATTCCTGCATGAAGAGACTCAGTCTCTATAGAAACATATTATTGATGTCTCATTCTAAATAGGTTATTTTGTCAAACAACTGTGTGATGTATAAAATATTTTCTCTTCTTTTAATTATAGCATGTTGGACCACAAAGAATTCAGGTTTATCTATCCAGTCTTACCATTCTGTATGGTGTTCTGTGGTAAGTGATTTTGTTTAATACAAAAAACAATTACATAGAACCAGATAAAAGGTAAACATTTTCCCTACATCTTATGAAGATAAAAACATGAGGCTCCAATGTCCAAGGCACTTTTTGGTAGTGCTGTTCCTGACTTAGAACTCTTTCACTATGAAAGTAAGACTGGTCTGTTTTAGAATAGGTGTTTCAAGTTTATGGCTAAACTACAAGGACCTTCATTTTCACAAAGGGAAAATACATTTATTGCTGTCAAAACTAGTTTTTAATGCCTTTGTCCACAAAGTGTTTACCCTGTTAAGACTAACGCAGTGCAGTTTTTAAAGTAATTCACTCCCATGACTTTATTTTTGGCTCTTTCTCCACTTTTCCATGAGTTTTTGTTGTGTATTTTTTACTTATGACTTTAAAAAATGTTAACTCATCTTAGGAGAACCTAAATTTTTAATTGGTTTGGGAAAACTATGAATTAAACTAACTGTAGGGCTGGGGATTTAGCTCAGTGGTTCTGCTGCCTGCCTCGCAAGTGCAAGGTCCCGAGTTCGATCCCCGGTACCAAAAAGAACCACCCCCCCAAAAAAAAAACCCTTAACTTCAAGTTTAATTCATAATCAATGATTCTGGTCTTCCTTGAAACGTTAAGGCATTAAAAAAAAATAACCGCATTTGCAGAGAAGGCAATGAGTACCATCAGGGACCGGAGCACAGAAGGGTAGAAGTCTCACCTCAGAACCCAGTGGTTCCCAGCCCAGCAGCCTTCTCCGACCAGGCTGGAGGCGCTGCCTCCCAGGCACAAGCGTGCGTTGCCCGTGACGTGTTTCCTGCCCTCACACCAAGTACACGCGCACAGAGCCGCCTGGCAGATCGTAGCACAGTGGCTCCCACTTCACCACATTCTCCCAGGCATGCAGTTACCAGTGCCTGAGCGCTTGTCCCAGCCCGCACCCGGCACAGGCTGCCACCTTCCCTGTGGACTGCGCTCCTGAGTGGGCAGGGCACCAGAGCCCTGGACGCTCAGCATGGGCCTGGTGCAGGTGGCTGCCTGACATAGCTGGGTGACTGCACCTCAGGTCCTTGGCTTTTTTTGTTCTGATCTTTTTAACCTGATGTTAGGCAACCGTCTTAACTCTTGGCCGTGGATGGTGCCACAGGCCACCTCAGTAGAGTGGCTTAGTCTGGCATGGAGGCACACACCAGGAATTCCACCACTCAGGAGCCTGAGGCAGGAGGGTACTGAGTTCTAGGCCAGCCTGGGTTAGTGACTTAACAAGAACCTGTCTCAGAATAGAAGCAAACCTAGGGGCCTAAACCCAGGACATGCTGTCACCGTGAGCAGGCTGGTGGATGGCTTGCATGACTGGGTGCCACTGCTGTAGGCTGAGGCAGCGCAGCTCTCCTGTGTATTCATGGCCCCAGGAGAGCAGCATGCAGGCCCTGAGGTCCGGGCCCAGACCTGTGAACTCTCTCCTCCCATCGTCCTTTGGTCAGTGCAAGTCAGGCCCAGCCCAGGCTGAAGAGGTGAGGAGGCCTGCTGTCCTGGTGGTGGAACTGGCAAGAGGGAGCTACTGTAGCAGGTTCCAGGCCACCACGCAGCCCGGGACACCCCCAGAGCAGGTTCTCTCAACACCACCGCCTCTCAGACTCTAAATTCTGATCTCGGCGGTCCCTTGCCTGCTTCCCTCCCGCCTCGTTCCCAGGAGCCGCCATCTGCCTGTGTTTTAGCTGACTTTTCACTAATGACACCCTGGACAGTGGCTGCTTTGGGCCTGGCCAGTGGCTTCTCAGTGTGGGGCTGCAGCTGGGGCTGCTCCCAACACCTCCCTCACACCTGCACCCTGCAGGTGGACACCTGTCTCTCCCGGGCCTCTCCTCTCCTTAGTCCCATTCCAAGCTTTCTTCATGGAAACAAACGACACTAAACTGAGCTGACAGGTTCCCCAGAGTATGGAAAGGTGCACCCAGTGCAGTCCCAGCACTCAGGAGGCAGAGGCAGGAGGATGGCAAATCAGAGCCCAGCCTGGGCAACTTGGCAAGAGCCTCTGTAAAAGTGGTAAGGGTTCTGGAGACAGAGCTCCAGTGCTGAGCCCCTGGTGTCGTGCCCAGTACCATAAAAACAAAAAGCAGTGAGGCATGGCAGTATCTGCCTTCAATCCCAGCACTGGGGAAACTGAGGCAGGAAGATCCTGAGTTTGAGGGAGTCTGGGGCACACGGCAAGACCCAGTCTCAAGAACCTGAAGAATAGAATGGGAAGAATCACCAGTACACTTCTTGGTACGGTGGAGTGCTGAACAGGTTTTCGCACTAGCTTTTCTGATCATTCCTGCCGCCAGGTGCTCCCATGCCGCTCCTCAGCCGGCCAGGGTGGACCCCGTGTTGAACGCTGCGCACCCCACACCTGGGGCAGAGCTACTCCAAGGCTGTGGCCGCACAGCATGACCAGAGGGGCTCCACACACAGGGTGTGCAATCATGCACGGGGCTGTCGCACAGGGACGGTTCTGAGGGACAGCTGTCCTGGAGCCTCAGATTTTATCAGATCAGCCAAGTGGATGCGATGGCTTCAGTGAGTACGATATGAGCCATCTGATAACAGCCGTTTTAGTGTAAAACCCAAAGTCATGGAAAAGTAAATGTACTCATGTAGTCCTCTACAGTCACCTTGGTCACTTCCCAACGGTAACTTGCCATGTCCTTATGCAGCTCTTCCAGAAATCATCCATAGACACAAAGCATCGTTAAGCCAAGTGTGGTGGTGCACACCTGTAACCCAGCACGCTGAGAGGCTGGTACAGGAGGACCACAGGTTAGAGGCCAGCCCGGGCAATTTAACTTAGCAAAAAGGAAAAGAAAAAACTTAGATCCTGGTCTCAAGATTTTAAAAGGCTGGGTTAAATCCCAGCCCTGGCCCCTCCAAAAGAAAGTACCGTTCCATGGGCCCGGGTAGCAGAAGTGGCGTACTGCTGGCACCGTTAGCCACGCATGAAATGCTGTGTGTGAGGAGCGCTCCGACAGCCTGGGGCCTCATTTAGGCAGTGCAGTTTTTGTGGCACTGGGTGGCTTCTGCCCAGAACGTCACCTCAGTACTCGTTGCCATGCAGTTAAATGCCTGTCGGCTGGCGAAATCCAAGTGGAGTCTCGCGAATTACCTCAAGTGTACCGAAGCTACTGCTTCCCTGTGAGAAGAGCAAGGGTCCCGGCTTCTCGAGGCCCAGTCCAGCAGTGAGATTTCTTCCAGCTCTCCCCTCAACTCGGTACCTTCTGTTTCTGGGCGCCCCCTGGTAAACGTGATCTCAAGCCAGTGTGAAAATCCTGAGGCTTCAGGTCTGACCCGAGGCTCCATAGCTACACCGAGGTCAGCATCTCCATGACAAACCGCGAGTCTGAACCAGCAGAGATGCTGGGCCCAACCCGTGGCTCAGACTGCAGCCGCATCTCTGTCACGCAGGGCACTCACTTTCCCACCTGAGGACTTGGAGGAAGCCAGCTCTCTGCTTCCTGCTTCTGTCCAGTGCACTCCTGGCCCTTTACACGGGCTTGGTTCACCAGCGGGGTGCCCTGGACGTCATGGGCCACGTGCAGGAGGTCGGCTGCAGAAGTGCCAACCTGTCTTCAGCCTCAGTGTTCATGATGATGCCGTGCCACTCAACACCATTCTACAGGTACTGCAGCTTGCCCTAGGCGCCCTTAGTAAGAACAGAAAGCTGAAATTCCCAGATTGGAGGCAACTTTTATTGATCAAATAAACTTTACACACCCACTGACATTTACTTAGTGGGGGGTTTGATAGCAGGAATCAAACTCAGGGCCTCACGCTTCCAGTGCCGGGTTCGAGGGCTCCTGGGAAACGGTCCTACGTAGTGCAGGAAAGAACACAGCTTCCTGCAGATGATTCCACTCCTATGTACCTCAGGCCAGCTTCAAGCCCAGGTAATGTAGTGTCACCAAGGATCTTGTTTTAGGGGGACAGAACACTTGGAATACCCAGCCTAATAATGCCAAATACTAACACGCAACTTGGAAAGCCACAGGCCAGATGCAAGAGCCCGGCACCCTCCCCCAGCAGGGGCCCAGATTTCTCAGAACATGGTGGTGACTGCAGGTGTTGCTGCAGGCTGCCCACAGTTCACCAAGTTCTCAGCTTACACCTTTGACTTTTTGAGATGGTCTTGCTGTGCAGTGCAGATGAACTGTGCCTCCCAAAGGCTAGCAGCTGTTTCTCAGAATATTTTTTCCTGGTTTTTCGAGGCATGGTTTCACTACGTAGCCCAGGCTGGCCTGGAACGCACAGCAGTCCTCCTACCTCAGCCGCCCAAGTGCTGCTGGGATTACAGGCGTGTTCCATCACACCCAGTAGGCTTTTTTTTCTTCATTCATTTTTAGCACTGGGGATGGAACTTAGGGCCTCCTGCTTGCCAGGCAGGCACTATGGCACTGAGCTATATCCCCAGCCCTCAAAATTTCTGCTGTAAGTTCAAAACAGGGCCTCCTCCAAGATCCTAAGTCATGAAATTACTAGGTCTTAAATTTACTCTGTATGCACCTCACAGGTTAATTACACTCCATGTGTCATTGAACGTTTCATCCTTTAATCAAGTGAAGTTTAGCTTTTCTAGGGCTCTGCACACGCCCAGAACCTAGTTTAACAGGTGCTGCCTGGGATCCGATGGACCCACCCTTGCAGCACAGTAAAATGCAGAAGCAGCAGCTCCTGAGGTTGCCCATTGGTGCAATGCTGCTCTGGTCCAGCCCCCTCCACGCAGAGGGGACAGCAGGGCCCTCCTGCCTTGCCTGGTACCCGGGCGCTGGCTGCTGCTGCTTGGAGTCCCATTCACATCCCCATGGTTATGGCGGAGCTGAGCTGCACTCGGCTGAGCTGAGGCATGTTCAGGGTGGGGGGACGTGTGCTTTGCCTGGTCCCTGGTAACGGATGGCGACTTCCTTCACAGCCACGTCCACTGCCCACTCCCCATGCGGTTCCTCCAGTGTCCCCCAGACCTGAATGGGCAGAGCGGCTACCTTGATGAAGCAGACACGTTCTACCTCGACCCTGCGCGCTGGCTCCAGAGGGAGTTTCCCAACGCCGCCTTGCTGCCTGCTCGTGTGATCATCTTCAGCGTTTTGGAGGAGGTAAGTAGACAGGAAAGAGCGCTTAGCAAATAGCAATCGGCAACACTGTCCTGCTGTCCGTCCCTGTCTCCCCATACTCGGCACTGTCTTCTCCAGGCAGAGCCAGTCCCAGGTCTGTAGCCACCGAGGCATATTAGTTACCATAAGTTAATTTATTAAGAAATAGCTGGCTGTGGTGGCGCATACCTGTAATCACAACACTTAGGCTGAGGCAGGAGGATCACCTGGAGTTCAAGGCCAGCCTGAACTGCATAGTGAGACTGCCTCAAAAAATTTTTACTAAGAAGCCAAGGGCTAGGGATGTACCTCAGCTATGCCACCGCTGCCTGGCAACCATAAGGTCCTGAGTTTGATCCCCAGTACCCACCCCCAAAAATCACAAAAAAGGCTGGAGATGGGCTCAGTGAGAGATCCTGGATTCAATGCCAGTTCCATAAAAAAATAAGTGAAGTCATCAAGGGCTGGGGACGGAGCTCACAGAGGCCCTGTAGGCTGGGGCGGTGCTCAGGGGCACTCGGCCTGGGTTCCATTGCAGCACTGCAGCAGGAAAAGGCCAGAAGTCAGGGGCAAAATCAGAACAGGCAGCTCTGGCTCTTAAACATTCCTCAGGAAACTGCAGCCTTCACACTCACATTGCTTTATTTACTCGTAGGAAATCCGCGCTTTCCTAACCTCGGGGAATTACGAGAGAACTGCTGTTTTCTTCCACACTCACTTCCCCGAGGGCAGAACTGGAAGCCACATCTATGTCTATGAGCGAGGCCCGCCAGGCACTGAGGGCTGAGGACAGGGTGAGGCTCGGCAGCACAGAGGTCCCGCTAGCCTTGAACCACAGAAAGACACACGGACATGCCCACATCCCAGTAAAGACCTGGTCGTCATCATGGCGTCGTTTTATTGTTTCTTCTGGAATCAGATGTGCAAGGGGCTCACAAGAGAACAAGTCAGCAAGCTCTGCGGGCGGCAAACTCTTCACAAGTCAGCGGGCTCTTGAACCCACAGAAAGACAAGAAGTGGAAGTTATGGCAACACCCGCACAGCACAGCCTGACAGACAGCAGTGTTAATCACTGTCGTGTGTGGCGTGGACAGAAGACACTCAATGCACAAATCTGTTGCATGCCTGGCTTCCTTAATAAGACTACTGTATTTTCCAGTGCCCCCCCAAACTTTTTTGCAACAAAGCTGTACTATGGGTTTATTAGATGCAGGTTATTAAGCTTGTAATTGAGTGGTGCTGTAAGTACTACGAAGCCATCACACTGAAAAATCTCTTTCAACATGAAAAGCAACAGTGTCCTCATGGGAATTCCATCTTAGTTTAAACACCAAACAGTACACAGTACAAAAAGCATCCATGTGTCTTAGCTTTCTAATGTAACACAATCACGATCAGTATTTAGAATCAAAAGGTAACTGCCCCAATTCTATTTCCAGATTTGCCATGTGTCTTCTGCTAGTGCGACCACATTTATGCCATTTACCTTCCCTTTTACAAGGCTGTGACTGAAGATGCTTCTGCTCTTGTTTTCCATGCCTGGAGTTTTCAATATTTACCATACGCTGCTTTTTATCAGGTCGACTGAAAGTAGTAAACACATTTTTCATTTATGTTAGAGTTCAGCTTATTTAAATTAAGTTAAAAACAACTTTAATGCTTTTATCCATTATTCTACTAACTTCAGTCAGGATGTTAATACGAAGTATAGTCCTAATTACCTGCACCAAAAAAGGGGTTAGTGCAGGCATGACACTTTTTTATCCTATAAGAAGAAGCTGGGTGTGGCAGTGCACATCTACAAAGGCAGGCCGAGGCAGGAGTGCTGTGTTTTGGAGCCAGCCTGGGCTACACAGCCTGGCGTTGAATTTAAGTACACAGCAAGACTTAGTCTCAAAGAAGAACAAAAAACAGAGCCAGGCAGTGGTGCAGGCCTGTAACCCCAGCACTTGGGCGGTGAGGCAGGAAGATCCTGAGTTCAAGGCCAGCCTCTGCTCTACAGTTACAGTGAGACCATGTCTCAAAACAAACAAAACAAAGGACAAATTTTACTGGCAAGGCAGAGAAAATGCTCAAGGAATAGAAATGTGACAATAAAATAATGAGATGTGTCCATTACTTTCCCTCCATTCTATGAAAATCCCTGCCCCGCTGGCTTTACCTCTGTAGAAATCGACATCTCACGAGCCCACACCAGGCTCCACCTCCTCCCACCCGGCTCCTCCCAGCATCTACACTGCCTGCCTCCGCCCTGACCGGGCAAGAGCACGCCTTCAGGAGGCCTGGAGGGCCTCGTGGCTTTGTGCCACCTGCAGCCTTGTTCATGCTTCTCAGCTCAGCTGCCACCATCTCCAGCCCATTCTGGGCACACTTCTTCAGTGTTTCACTGCTGTATGAAATCTGTCCACATGTCTCCCTTGTGCTCTGCTGTCCTAATCCAGGCACCACCAGCTCATGCCTGTCACCCACCTCCTAGCTTCACTTTCCACTGGCCCTTCCTTCCAGCCATGGCCAGCACTCTAGATGGCACTGTCCCTCTCTCTCTCTCTCTCACACACACACACACACACCACACCCTCTGCGGATCCTCCGTCCATGTCCTATGAAACAAGCCTTCATGATCCAGTGAGGGCCACTGGTGATCCAAATCTTCCAGATGCACCCAGGCACTACCTGGCTTTCTGCGTGAAATGCCCTCCCTGCAGGGCAGCTCATTCCCACTTCTTTCCAGGCAGGTGCACTGCCACTGAGTTAAATCTAGGGCCCATTCTCATTTCTTTCAAAAGCTCTTTGAAACCTATGCTGAGGCTGAAGGCCACCTCCCTCACCAAGCCTCTCCACCACCCTCCAGAGGCTGTGGCCACCACACGCCTGCCTCTGTCCACCTCACTGTGGGCTCCTCCATGCCAAGCACTCTGCCCAGGGCACCAGACACCAGAACCAGTCTCATTATTCTATAGACACGCTGCCTTTATTTGCAAATATATAGATGTATCTCAGAGGCAAGAAGTAAAGCTCACACTTGAACGTTAGGGGAACTGCATGTTACAGGGTAAAAAGCTGATAAGCAACGGGCAGATGGGCACGTAAGGATTCTGGGCTTGCTCTGCTGCCTCCTGGTCATGCCACTGCCCTTAACATGCAGCCCGGTAAGAAGTGTTAATAATTTGGCAATGATGGGGTACAGGAGGGCTGTTAACTATGGGCTCTGATTTCAGAGAAAAATCTGCACTGTCCACTATGGTGAGCATATAAATAGATTGATCACACAAGGCAACTGTCTTTTCATATAAATTAGAGTGAAACAAAATGAGTGAAAATAGGATTTATATAGACTTAACTGATTCTTAAAGCAATCATTTTCTCAAGTCAACAGTGATGATGTTGCATGGAATTTTCTACATGAAATAGCTGTAATTTTAAAGCTCTATCTTTCCATTTATTCTAAGCTTTCAAGATTAAAGCACATCTCTATATTACAAAGCACTACCCATCAGACAAGTGTTAGAAACTATTATAAAGACACGGTTCTAAGTAAACCGACCTGGGTCCGAACAGCGGGAGTACACGGTCAGCAAAGTGTCTACATATGTATCCGTCCAACTTCTCAAACACTCCACTGTCTGCTCGGTACTCCTCCATGCTTTTAAGATGAGCTATGACATCATTAACAAAGTCTGCGAAGGTCTTCTGACTTGTGAGGCCCTTTATGATACACTGATCGATGAATTCATTAAGTTCTTCCCAATGATGAAAAGTGTCCAGCTCTTTTACTAAGTATCTTCTAATTACTTGCCTAAAGTCAGCAGCCAGTGCAGGACTCGCCACCGTGTCACAGGGGCTGAAGAATTGCCGAGCGGTTCCAGGCACCCGGTGCCCAGCCTCTCGGGAGGAGCGACACGCTCCCTGCCAGCCACTGGTGGTGCCAGCCTTGTAGAGGCACGCGGTTCCTCCGGACCACGCCCAGCGAGTCTGCTGCTCTTGGCTCCCAGCACCCTGCATGCTGGGGCTGCGGCGGTTCTGGTTTTGGGGGGGCGCTTCATGCTGTGGATGTGAACAACCGCTGAAAACTGTTTTTTTTTTCCCAGTGTCTGCTTCTTTTGCAGTACCAAATCTTTTATTGCCCTTTTCAAAGATAGTCTTGGTGGTATCTTTAAAATGTCGGAAAGTGGATTTAACTGAATCTGAGAACCTTTTTAGATTTTCCTTCACAGCTTCTTTAGCCTGCTTAATTTTTTCTTTATGATGCCTCACAAACTCCTTGGTAGAATTCTTCATGGCATCAAAAGTTTCCTTAACTGTTCCCAAAAGTGTTTCCTTTGACTTACTCTTAGCCCTGTGGTTTCCTCTGCCCGCCTTCTGCTTTCCAGTGTCTGGTTTTCCATTCTGATCTCTGGCTTCGATGTACAGCCTTTCCCACAAGTCAGAGCGCTGCTGCTCAAAGCTCAGCCTCTGCTCCAGCTCAGCGAGTCTTTCCTGTAACTCTGCTGTCTCCTTTTCGTGGGGAGAGCCTGACCCAGGCTGCCGCTGACCAGCCTGTAGGTGCAAAATTTCCCTCCGCAAAGATGCTGCTGACTTTTGTTCTCTCTCCAGTTCACTTCTTAGCATCTTTGTTTCTGCTAACAGAATCTCCCTTTGATTAAGGAACCTATGTGTTTTCTGTTTTGCTTCATGCAAATGCTGCTTAAGCTTCTGATTTTCTAGGATTAATTCAGCACCTGCACCTCTCCCCTCCAATATTCTAATCTGCTCCCGTAGCTTTCGTAACTCTTCCTGGAGTGAGCCAGTGGTCTGCTCTCCCTGCTCCAGAGACGCCCTCAGGTGGTGACTGTGCGCAGCGAGTCTCCTCGTCTGAGTTTCAAGGGCCATCTTTTCTGCAGTTGTCAGGAGTCGACACCGTCCAAGACTTTCTTTCAAAGTCTATTTTGAAAGAAAAATGACAAGATTTCAAAAGCTGAGTTTCAATCTTTAAGATATTAACACCTCACAAACTTTACTGGCTTTATTTCTACAAGGCACTATAACTTAGGTATTATTCTCAATAGTATAAAAATTAGAAAACCTAAGTTTCGCCTGGCGTGGTGGTGCACGCCTATATTCCCAGCACTTGGGAAGCTAAGGCAGGCGGATCGCTGTGAGTTTGAGACCAGCCTGGGCTACATAGTGAGTTCCAGGTCAGTCTCAACTACATAGTGAGACCCTGTCTCAAAAAAACAGGAAAAAAAAAAAGAGAGAGAAAACCTAAGTTTCACATGCAAGAAAGTACATTCAGCTAAGCCTGGGAAGACTCTAAGACAAGGAAGTTAGCTAACCTTGTTAGTTCGTCCCTAACAGGGCTGTAGTTGTAAAAAGAGAAGATCACCGGGTGTAGCTCAGGGCTTCAGTGCTTGCCTAACCAAATGTCAGGGCCTGGGTTCCATCCCTGGCACCGTGAGAAACAATCACAAAGTGAGACGCAGCATACACAACACCAGTGGCAGCAGAGGACCTGGAGGCACAGAGGCAGGAAGACACTGACGGGACACAGCTCGCCAGTCGTCTCCTAAAAGCCAGTGTCACCTCATGGAACCAGAAACCACGGTGACAGAGAATGCCATCTTCTGATACTCCGGGGTGCACTACAGACAACTACCTTCAACAGGACCCCTTGAAGACACAATCTGGATGCAAAGGAGGACTCTGTCTGAGCCTGAGGGAGGTATACGTAAACTGCAAGGGAGAGCGCGTGGCGGGAAGCCACAGCCTGAGCTCGTCGTCCCAGGAAAGAACCAGCCAGGAAGCCAGCTGCCACGCTGGCCTTCCTACCCTGGGATGGTGCTGGGGAGAAGACTGCTGCCAGTGTGGTCCACTGCAGTGCTGTGAGCTTCAGGCAGGAAAACCTGCTTCTTCCATCAGAAGGCCACGTAAGATAGCAACCTCACCAGCCAGGAAGACGCCGAGGAGCTAGGTGTAAGGCCCCAACCCCTGAAAATGTTTTCTTAGCTCTGTGCAAATAAAGTTAACAGTATACTTGTACATGTACGTACTTCAAATGTCAAATTTAAATACTGTTAATAACAAAATAGCAGCGGGCCAGGGAATTAGCCCAGTGATGTCGCCACCTGCCTTGCAAGTGCAAGGTCTCGAGTTTGATCCCCGGTACCACAAAGAGGGGTGTGTGGCTCAGTGAGAAGACCCTAGGTTCAACGCTCAGTACTAGGAGGAAAAAAAGAAAAACACTGGCTCTGCTAGGCTTACTCATTTCATGTCCTGAGAACTAGGAGCTCTGGGACAGGATATACTCCATTAGTGCCTAGGATAAGGTGAGGACTCAAAATCATCTGCCCATCACTGAACAGCCCACCTGGTTACGGCCACTTCAGGCCTGCGGTGGAGGCTGCTGCTTGAACTCACACCTCGCGCTCAGGCTTACAGCCCGTCTTTTTGGGTGGCACAGCCTGTCCATCTGATTCGTAGAGCCTCAAAGTCTTCTTTTACATGAAGCATCTAGTTTATAAACACCATCGAGCTGAGTGTCCTGTGCCCCTTTCTCTGCTGAATGCTTTAACGCACACCCGACACGCAATTCCGCATTTGGCGACCCAGTGGCAGTAACTAACGCTGCACGGGGAGCTGTAACCACAGCTGCGGCCGCGGTCACATCTCGGCGTGGGGTACGCACCTTCACCTCCAGAGGGGACCCCTGCCTCCCCGCGTCACTCGCTCCGTTCGCAGGTGTCTTTGGGACTAACTGCTGCCATCTCTCACTCTGAATTGCACCTAAAATGAAATTTTTAATTGTGGGTGTACATTATGATTACCAATATTTTAAAATATGTAACATATTTCATCTACATATTACCTACATAGTCTGGATCTTCCTTCAACATAACATTTCACTGTTTAAAAATTGTGATTATCCAGAGTAAGTGAAAACTCGTGGTGTCATTCATCAAATGATAGTGGATGTTAATCATATGAATCAGGCCCAGCAGGTTAGCTTATCTAATTTTTGTTAGCATACACCCAAGAATGTTCAAGTATTTCACTGTCCTTCTGATCAAAACAAGCATGCCAGGGACCAGGGATTTACCTCAGTGGTTCTGCTGCCTGCCTCGAAAGCATAAAGACCCAAGTTCAATAACCGGTACCAAAAACAAAACAAAACAAAACAAGCAGGCCAGCCCATATTACACAAAGAAAGGGAAACAAGGTCTCCTTATATAGCCCAGGCTGGCTTGGAACTCAAATAACCCTCCTGCCTCAGCCTCCCAAGTGCTGGGATTACAGGTGTGGGCCCAACACAAAAAGGAAATTTGAGATGGTCTTATCTCCCTGTATGAAGACACTCAGCTCTGCTGTTTTGAGGGGCTCTACAGAGGAGTGTGTTTGTTTCAAATTCCTTTACACAGAGAAATTAACAGTCCATGGTGTGGTTCTTTCGGTTTAAGTCAATACAAACAAATGTCTATCTCTGTCTCTCTTAATATTTTGCCAAAAGGACACAACACAAGCCCAGAAAGTAGAGGTTATCTAATAATTCACAACTGTCTTTTCTTTTTTTTTAAGTTTTTTGAGACCAACTTTCACTGTGTAGTCTAGGCTGGCCTTGAACTTATGGTAATCCTCTTGCCTCAGCCTTCCAAGTCCTGGGATTACTGGCCTGCACCACCACGCTCACCTCATAGCCCAATTTTTAAAGAATTCTGCCATGGTTAAGGTCACTTAAGTATCACTGCCCCTCCCTTACAAAGCCATAATAAAGATTTCTTGGGGCCAGGGATTTAGCTCAGTGGTTCCACCTGCCTTGCAAGCACAAGGACCCAAGTTTGATCCCTGGTACAAAAAAAATAAATATATATATATATTTTTTTTTTCGTGATTTTTCACTTTTCCCAAGACATGCTGCTACATGCTCACACAGGAGGGGAAAAAAAACCTAAGTTAAAAACAGCAAAAAGCACCCAGCAACCTTAATATTTCATCTACTGAGTGGATTTTAAAAAGGATGCTAGGATGGCTTACTATGTTTTTCTACCTTGCTGCTACAAGACCTATCTCCTAATTTCCTGAAACCATGTAACCTTTCCCTAACCTTGTTGGACATTCCAAACACCAGGTAACAAGTATGAAACTCTGAATAAGGACTCGTTTCTTCTCTTTAAATTATCTCATTTGTAGGAGCATGGCAAACTTACTTCAAAATTACTCGGAAGAAACTCAAGATTTCAAAAACTATTTACATAAACTTCTCTCTAACTTTTAAAGCAACAGAAAACCTCTGAGCTTCCAGTGCCCACAAGACAACTCTGCATGGATAGGGAGAACCCTGCAGTTCCCAGGAGCTGCAGGCAACCACTTGCTTCTCCCTGCCACTGGTGTCCTCCTCACCCTGCTCCTGGCCACATGGCAGCACCGCCAAGGCATCAGCTGCAAGTCACTCGTGACGAGCAGAGAAGCCACCTCAGCCACAGCGCCGCTGCCACCTCTTGGAGCTCCCAGCCAACACCAGCTGCCTGCGGGCTTCCACATTGGAGGGAGAAATCAAAAGTTCTCCACGGGCAACCACCCAAGTGACGAAAGGCCTCAACCAAGCATGCCATCTGCCTCACCTGCCAATCCTGCCCAGTAGCCCGAGATGCCGTCAGCTACCAGAGCGAACTCCCGCCTCTGCCCCCGGGCGCCCTGTCAGACCTCCCACTCTCCACCCCAACGCTGCAGTTCCAAGGCCTCACTCCGATCCCAGTGCTGTCCAGACTGCTCCCTCACATCTCCCAGCCGGCCCCGTAGTCTTCCCACGGCTCCCCACTGGACCTTCACTTCCTCCTTGGCAGGAAAGGGTCTGCACGGCTAGCGGCTGTGTCATGGCCACGCCCTGTCCCCGGGTAAGTGTGGGGCCCGCAGGCTCCACCTAGAGCACAGGTGCATTGCAGGACAGTGCTCAGCTTTCCAACCGCCTGTGCGCCCTGCTCTGCTGCCCTCTGCTCTCCCGCAGAGCCGTTACCGAGCAGGAGGCCCACTGAGGCGCCCAGAGAAGGCGAGCAGCGCCGTGGTGAACGGGACATCCAGACCCGCTCTGAAGTACCTGAGGACTGTGCGTCCTCTAGGACGGCCTGGAAGAGTCGTTTAGGTTAGGGCTTCTACTCCCATTAAACGAATTTCATTACTGTGCAGACCTACTTCACATCCCACATCATCATTTTCATACTGTGAAAAGATTAACAGGAAAATGCGCTATTACTCATAATTACTGAAGTAAATTTTACTAGCAACAAAATTCTGCAGTTTCTCATTTTAAAAGAATTCCTCTCTAAACGGAGCTTTCTGTAAAACATTCAAAGTCATGCAAGGCTGTTGCAAGTTTAAGGTCAGCCCGAACTACAGAGTGAGACCCTATCTCAAAAAAAAGGTCATCAGTTGGTGAGATTTCAATGCACTCTGTATTAACATTAAAATCACTACCCAATTTTTGCTTCAGCTAGAGAAAAGATGAAGACCACCACCTCCTTTGTTACCTTCATGTTTACCTGCAGAGAGGAAAAAAAAAATCATACTCAAAGCACTGGCACAGGTGCTACAGCTGTCCAATAAAGTCCGGTGTGTGCTCAAACCGCACCACCGCAGACTGCAGAGGGCCACCGGTACAGCGCCTCAGCACAAAGTCCTCCCAGCCGTCCCCTGGGGCCAGACACTTTTATTTACACGGAGTGAAGTATGGGATGGGGATTCAGCTCAGTGGCACGGAGCCTGCTTCACAAGCACAGGAACTTGAGTTCAATCTCCAGTACCAAAGACTAAAATGAAATAAATGGAGTCAAATGTATGAAAGAACTCATTTTACTGACTCTGACACTTTAAATAAGCATTGTTTCAGGGTTGGGAATTTAGCTCAGTAGTTCCAGTGCAAGTTTTGCAAGCACAACGGTCAGAGTTCCATCCCTAGTACCAAAAAATAAACAAACGAACATTGTTCCATTAAACTCACCCTAACTTACACCTATTGACATGTTTGTTCTACCTATACACTGTATGAAATAACACACTTCCCACAAATCGGCACAACATGTGAGCAATGCTTTGATCTCAATGTAAAGAACACTGTTAGAGGGATCTAGCAAAGCGCAACATGAAGCTGTGGGTTATAAACCAGGTGTGGTGGTTCACAGTATCCTCAACTCTCTGTGAGGCTGAGGCAGGAAGATTTGAATCTGGAGCCTTGCCTGGGCAACTTAGCAGATCTTATAGCAAAATAAAACACACGAAAGGCTAGGGATGTAACAGTGCATAAAGTTCCTGGGTGCAATTCCCAGTACCATGAACATAAAAGCATTAAAAAGTGTACACTGAGCCGGGCGTGGTGGCGCATGCCTGTAATCCCAGCACCTGGGAGGCTGAGGCAGGAGGATCGCTGTGAGTTTGAGACCAGCCTGGGCTACATAGTGAGGTCCAGGTCAGTCTCAACTACATAGTGAGACCCTGTCTCAAAAAACCAAAAACAAACAAAAAAAAAGTGTAGACTGGGCCAGGGATTTAGCTCAGTGGTGCCACCGCCTGCCTCAAAAGTGCAAGGACCCAAGTTCAATCCTTGGTTCTGACAGACAGTGTGAATCACACAGACCACAGTAGCCCTCCATGCCGTGTCATGCAACAACAGTCAAGGCCACAGGAGGACACTTGCAATCGAGGGCATTAACGACTGACGCACTGCAGCAAACCATTCTGATGGGGGCCAAAGAAGTCTGAATCTTGGAACCATCTCTTTTTTTTGGTATTGGGGATCAAACTCAGGACCTTGCAATTGCAAGGCAGGTGGCGGAACCATCTCACATTTTTGTTTCTATTTTTTAAAGCACGTTGTCACTACATAGCTCAGGCTGGGCTTAAACTCACAGTGATCCTCCTGCCTCAGCCCCCTGAGTGTTGTTACAGGTGTGCAGCACCACACCTAGCCCGTTTTTTTACATTTTTAATCTTTCGATGTTTTTACTTTAAAAAATTTATCAGTATTTCCTTTGCCTTTTTTTGAAACAGGATCCCAATGATCCTCCTGCCTCAGCCTCCCAAGTAGATGGAATCACAGGTGTGTACCACCCGGCCTAGCTCTAGTACCTTCTGCCTTGGTTAAGTGCAAACAGTGTTTCAGGACAGGCAGCACCACCTCCACTCTCCACATGAGAAGACGCGTGTGAGCAGGCCCGAGCAGGTCCCGCCTGGCGGCACCAAGCAGAGCCAGCTGCCTGCCCCTGCCTGCCCCCGCCTGCCCGGCCCCCCGACTCACTCACTCACCGTAGAAATGCCCGAGCCCCATGCTGACAGCAATCACCATGGCGAGCAGGACACACTTGTGGAGGCACCCGCTGGGCTGGCGTCTCTGTGGCTCTGTGAGTAGCAGGGGGTCAAGGTCAGCAGGTGGCCGCTCCTCAGAGTCTGAGACAGACTCAACCTTCCTTCTAGGGCGGCGCCGGCGAAAGGCAGGACTGGGCTGGTCGCCGGCCTCTTCACTACTTGACCCGTCGTCGCCATGCTCAGATGAAAACACTGTTTTAAAGGTAAAATGCTGACATTTAGGTACTCGGATTTTAGAAAAGCCTTCCCAAAAGGGGTTCACAGAGTCAAGGCCATCCCTACATGCTCTTCATGCGAGGCAGCCAAAAACACCACAAGCCCCAAGTCTTCAGTGCGCGGACACGAAGTGGACTATGGCACACACTCATCCACCTGCTGTCCGGGATGCTGGGGACTGAGCCCAGGACAGCACCCGCTGCTGGCAGAGACAAGGCAGCGAGATCAAATTCTTCAGTGCTGCTCTGGCAGAGACGTAGTAAGCTTAACTGGGAAAGGGATGCAGGAAGCGCACAAGGACCCAAGGCATCCTGTCCTCCAGCCGCTGGGCCCTCCGTCGTTCCCGGGTCTCCCTCAAGCAGAGGCGGCCAGGCCAGCCCTGCCCTAACCACTCCTGCCACACGGGCTCAACACCAGGAAGCGCAGCACGGCACACACCCACCGTGAGACTGCTCTGCTGCCGCTCCTCTCTGAACACAGCAGCAAAGGGAAAGAAAGCTGTGCAAAAAGCATCCCCTGGGAACATCAGCTTGAGAGGTTGCCAAACACAAGATTCCTTAAGTCTGCTGTGATTCCAACAGCCCGACAGCACATCGGCAGGTCCCACAGGCCAGGAAGAATGCATAGCCCAGGGTGAGGCTGCAGCCTAAGCCGAGCTCTGCACAGCGCTTCGGGGCTCCGCCATGCTCCAGCGCAGCGAGGGCGGCTCTCTGCGCCACAGGCCCGGCACAGGACAGGACACGGCAGCCTCGGAGCGGCACTGCCTGAGGGGTCCTTGGCCTGGAACCCTGTGCCAGCACGCGCAGCAGGCTCTGCTTGGTCACAAGTTTTTCCAAGATGCTGTCGCCTGAGGTGTAAGGTTGCCCTTCTTGGACAAATCACTGCATAGTCCACAGGCACTCACAACTGAGTCTGGAGTGCTGCAGTCAGACTTTCTGACAGGGAATTACCCTAAGACAAAAACAAAAGCGAACCAGGTCCGGGGATATAGCTCGGTAGCACTGCGCCTGCCTCACCAAGTGCAAGGTCTGGAGTGCAATCCCCGGTACCGGAAAAAAAACTACACAAATCATATGTCAAAATCCCTCCAACAGAATTTTGCAGGTGCCCTAACACAGGGTGCCTTCACTAGATATTCTCAATGCCAGCCTGACCCTGGCCAATGCATTCGTGTCTCTAGCTGATGCCCCCACCTTTCTTAGCCTATACCTACAAGGTCAAACACCATGACCTTGAACCTTCACAGTAGTTTGTCCTGTGATCCGAAAGGCACGCAGCGCAGACATGCAACTGGCTCAGCTCGCATCCGCCCGCCCCACTCAGCACACGAGGCAGAAGCAGCGCCAGCACTCAGGAACCGTGGAGGCCAGGCACACTTGGCACTGCCTGCCCAAGAGCTGCGGGCCGGGCCACTGCACCTTGCGGGGCGCGCTGGCCCGCAGTGGGGCGTCTGAGCCAGGCATCCCACGCCCTTATGCACACAGGGATCTTCCACAGCTTCGCCCACCACCCTGCTTTGGTGCACAAACAGGAAAAAGGATGTGTGAAGCTTCATTGTAAGGAACAGAAATGAAAACAGAATTCTCATTGTAAAGCTTGACACTGTCATCTGTGCTAAGATCCAGTGAACACACACACAGCACACGCTTCTCAGCCGCTCGCTCGCTCTGCCTTTGGAAGGCAGATGCTGGTCCTGGGAGGCAATAGGCGGCACCTGCTTACCAAGCCCCTTACTGTAAGACACGCGCTTAGGAGAAAATCACGAGGCTGGAATCCTGTATGGACGAGGAAGAAAAGGGAGAAACAAATGACTAAGCAACAGGAGCAGGAAATCAACAAACTAAACAAAAACTGGCACCTGATCATGGGCGGCCACAAGCCAGACACAACAGCACACTCAGTCTCATCTGTTTATTTTTTAACATTTGGTTGCTGAAACAACTTCTCTGGAAAGGATACAAATGGGTAAAAATGCACTTAATGATAAAATACAACTGTAACTTCAAAATTTCCAAAAACCTGAATTCAGAACAGAGCTAGGCCAGGAATGGTGGCGCACATCTCCAAACACAGCACTACGGGAAGCTGAAGTAAGAGGGTCACCAAGTTCCAGTCCAGCCTGTGCAATTCTGTAAGACTCTGACTCAAAAGACAGATACAGGAAAAAACCTGAGTGCAGAGGTGTCCGGGTCCCTGAAGACAGCGGGCAGTGGGCAGCCACTCTGCAGGCTCATCCTCCCTCGGGCCTCAGCATACCCTAACCTGAGTTGAAATGCACGGTGCACCCCCGTTCTCAGACAGAGCACCGGGGAGACTGAACGCGGCACAGCACAAACCTGGAACTCAAGAAAACATTAAAACTGACTGCCTTTCATGTCACACCCTCAAGTAAACACAGCAATACCATGGATCACGAACTCGATTCTTCCCATGATTCCCATGAGCAGGATGAGAACAGCATCCAATTCAACGGTTAGGCTCAATGCTGACCTTGTAGGAAAACTTGATTTGGCTCTCATACACTTTGGCTTGCGACTAGACTCGTAGAAAGAATCAAGTCTGTGAACCCAGGTACCACTGTATACAGTTAGCTCCCAAATCTGCCAAGTCCCATACCCCCGGATTCAGTCAACAAAAGACCAAAGTATTCAGGGGAAAACACACCTAGCCTCAGCACTTCTTTTCCTTGCAGCACCCTAGTAACAGCATGCCAACTGCCTGCACAGCGCTGGGGTCACGCGTCACTTAGGGACAGGAAAGCACATACAGGTGGCCTGTACACATGCACACACACACACACGCGAGCCCTTTCAGAGCCAGCCCTGTGGCCACCAACTGACCATCAACTAGGCATGCTGCTCTGAGCAAGCTAGAGTTCTCCAACCACTGGAACATCAGGAGTATTTGAATCATGGAGTAAAATATTTTTCAGTTCTACACAATCACTAACCAAAGATAACTCATGGTTAAGTGGGCTAGCAAGAATCTCTAGCTGGCTTTCAATTAGCTTCACTAGAAGGACAGAATTCTACCATCTGTTCTGGCTACCAAAGGTTAAGTACTGAAGAACAGCAAATTCTGAGACGGTCGAGTGAAAGATACCACATGCTCCTGTGTTTCCTCCCATCGAGTGAGGACGAGGACATGTCTGGAAACAGCAGCAGTGTGCCAAGTTCCAGCCAAGCCTTGGCAACTCAGCGAGACCCTGTCTCAAAATAAAAAATATAAAAATGTCTGGAAGTGTAGCTCAGTGTGAAGACCCTGGACCCAATTCCCCAGTGCTACAAAGGTTTTAAAAAAAAAAAAAAAAGAAAAAGAACTGTGAAAGGTACAGACCTGTACTCCCAGCAACTCAGGAGGCCAGAAGGGAAGACTGTATTCAAGGACAGCCTGGGGAACACAATACCCCATTTCTGAGCAGCAAAACAAAGCCACAGTAACTTTGGAAGTTACTTTTGGAAGGAAATCAGCTCAGCAGCTCACACTATAACCTCTAAATGATTCTATCTGAACAAAGAACACAAACGCCATTAAGAAAGTGACTCAAGGTCAGGATGTAGCTCAGTGATGCAGTGCCTGCCTCACAAGTGCAAGGTCCTGAGTTCGATCCCTGGTAACAAAAAAAAAAGAAACTGACTCAAACTGGGTACAGTGTCATAACACAGCCTAAAATAAAAAAGAAAGATCAGGGGCATCTTTGGGAAACTACCTAATTTTTTTTTGGTACCGGGAATCGAACTTGGGTCCTTGCGCTTGCAAGGCACACAGATGGAACCGAGCTAAATCCCTGGCCTGGGAAACTGCCTTATTAACCAATCCTTGAACCATTCTGTAATTGGTAGGTACTCAAATATCTGTCAAATTACTAATAATGGAACAGGGCCAGGGATTTAGCTCAGTGGTGTCGCTGCTTGCCTCACAAGCACAAGGTCCTATGTTTGATCCCTGGTACCAACAACAACAACAACAAAAAAACAAACTAATAATTGAACAGATCTTAAAGAGTTGAGTAAGAATTTCACTGGTTCTACAAAGCATGTATGTTCTAGTGTAAGCAAAATATTTAATATTCTTCTGATTTAATTACAATCTCTCAATCTACCACTCCAAAAGATACCAAAGGCCAACCGCACTTGAGTACTGGAGACTGCTTTCTCCAACCCTCCTCCAGAAACTCCGCTGAGGGCAGGGATGCAGCTGGCTGCGGGCGCTTGCCTGGGAGTGAAGGGCCTGTGCTGGGGCTGTCCAGCAGGCACGGCAGAACGGCCCCTGCACTCACAGCCTGCGTCCTGGGGAGACCCTGGGTGTGGCAGTCCCTGGACAAAACAGCTCATGAGCTTGCCCAGGTGTGCTGTGAAGCTGAGAGGAAGGGTTAGAAAGCCAGCCCTGTATGAAAGGCGTGGCTCACCGGTTTCCGGCCCACAGAAGGTGTACTGGCTGCTGGAAGAGGAGCCCATGCTGAAGTCCCCAGAAGCGCGCATCTCCTCAGCCATCATGGTGTCTTGGCTTCCAATCTCCTCTAACTTAGGAGGCTCAAGGGTGACGATATCAGAGTCATCGCTGGCAGCTCCAAAACAGACGTTGTCTTCAGGGGACCTTTCCTCCTCTGTCTAAAGATTCAGAGGTAGAGACGTTTAAACTCAAGGGTTATTTAAGAGCATTCTGTTTCCGAGGCAGTTCAAAGTACATCCCTGGTAGTGCAGTAATCTGAGGTTAAAATGAAAATGTGATGTTTCATTTTTTCGGCTCTAGGGATGAAACCGTGGGCCTTGCACATGCAGGGCACACACTCTAGCCCTGGCAGACTCCCCCAAGCCGAAGATAGGATTTCTACTTCATAGTAAAAGGTTAGCCAAGCGTGTGCTTTTTCTTTTAGCTAGGAAACCTTATGGAATTCCTTGGCAAATGTTCTCAGAACCCGATGTACCAGAGCCAGGTATGGTAGTGCATGCCTGTAATCCCAGCCCTCAGGAGGCTGAGTCAGGAAGATCGCTCGCTGCAGGTCTGAGGCCAACCTGGAGTACACAGTGAAATCTTGTCTCAAAAAAATACAAAAAACAACCACAAAAAAACCCAAACTGGATGAGCCACCACCTTCTTCCTCTGGCTATGGACAGTGCAGACCACTTTTGCTCCCCATTCTCCCAGTTCCATGGCTGCACCTCAGCATAATCCCACTCTGAGGGAACTGGAGAAGACCGGTCCTTCTCTAGTGATGTGGGTGGGCCGTGGTCTGAATGCGTCCCTGAAACCCCTGTGCTGGACCCTAGTCACCACTGTGGCACCAGTGTGTCACCCCAGCCCTGTGCTCTGGGTTTCTCCTGGCTGCTTCCTCCCCCATGACCAGGTGACTCTGCCTCAGGCTGGTGAGTTGACAGTAACAAGTGCTGCAGGCAAGCTGTGGGAACACCGTCCTCCCCAGCTGAGCCAAGCACCTACACCTGGGCGGATGTGGCGCTGGGGGGAGGACTCCACAACGGGCAGGTCTGTCTGGGGACAGGGGACTAGCTCTCGCCCGCCTCAGGCATGCACGAGGCCTGGGTCTGGTCTCCAACAGAAGCTGACTTTCACCCTCACACCTCCAGTTAAAAGTAGCTATAATTTAAGTAGGAATACAAGGCACAGCTAAAATTGGAAGCTTCAACTAGTATTCTCTAAAAATCTGCTCATCTAGAAAACAGAACACAGCATCACACATGCAGAGCAAAACCCAAGCTTACCTCAACAGCCAGACCTGCAGCTTCTCCCGTGAGCGATGTGTCATCCTGGCTGCTCCCTGATGCAAAGCAAACATCAATTCAATTATTTCTTTATTTAAAACACTGACAACTTTTTGCAGCCTACATACAATCAGGGTACACAAGAGCCTACCCCCGGTCACGTGGCTCTCATGAAATGTCAAATATAATTATAACATTCTACTGCTTGTAATTTGAAATTGAGGACAATTTTAGACTGAACTCAACTGAACTCATTTGGAACCTGCCACGAACTCAAAGTTCATCTGACTGAGTAAAATTTCTACCTTGAGATATCAAAGTACTCCAAGATGTTTCTAACAACCTGTTACTCTGGAAGCACTATTCTTATACCCCTGCTGACACATTTTTTGGCTTCTTAAAAGTTCATTCAAAAGCCCCAAAGATACTACCATTGTAAGGGCTGGCCGTGGTGGCTAATGTGAATTCAAAACTATGACTTTAACCTATAAATGCTTCACAGTAAGAAATCAACTATAAAAAAGAATCAAGAGGGTGGCTCTTCACTAACTCGCAGCAGGTGCTGTGCTTTCTGCGCTAGCTCGTCCAGTTTCCATCAGTTCCAGACCCGACCAGTACCCAGCTGGTTCGTGGAGAGGGGCGGAGAGGACTATGATGAACCCAGAGAACCCTCCACCATATCCAGGCCCAGGCCCAACAGCCCCATACCTACCTTATCCACAACCAGAAACTGGGCCTATGGGGGGGCCCTACCCACCTCCTCAGGGGTACCCCTACCAAGGAGACCCACAGTACGGCTGGCAAGGCGGACCTGGAGAGCCTCCTGAGACCACCGTGTATGTGGGAGAAGACCAGAGAAGAGATGACCTGGGCCCATCTACCTGCCTCACGGCCTGCTGGACTGCTCTCTATTGCTGCTGCCGTTGTGCCATGCTCACCTGATCAGCCCAGTCCTCCTGCCAACTCTGCCACCTCCTTCTGTAGGTGTCCTGCCCATCTCTTCCAATTGCTATAACAAATGACTAGCTCTGCACAGGCACCTCTACCTTCAACACTGGGATTCTACATTGTTGCTGTTTAATTCAGTGACTTAATCTTTTTAATGTTCAGAATCCATTTCATATTGATCTGTAACAAATGTGCTAAATGATTTTCCTTTTTTTTTTTGGCCAAAGGCTTAATTATAAAATATATATGTATAATTTGAAAAATATACAAAGTAGTGGCAAGATGTAAGACACCACTGAATGATTTCTCTGCTCACACCTTGTATGTTTCAATAAATTTGTCCAAAATTAAAAAAAAAAAAAAAAAAAAAAAAAAAAAAAAAAAAAAAAAAGAATCAACAAGTGCTTGCTTCAGCAGCACATACACTAACAAAGAATCAAGAAAAGCCAAAAAATGGGGCCAGGGATTTAGCTCAGTGGTGTTGTATCTACCTGGCAAGCCAAGTCCTGAGTTCAATTCTTGGTACCAGAAAGAAAGAAGACCCAAAATAATACCTCAAAGGGTAATTTTGGTTTTCTTTTCTTTTTGGAGACAGGGCCTCACTATGCAGTTCAGGCTGACCTTGAACTCACTATGCAGCCCAGGCTAGCCTCAAACTCATAGCAATCCTCCTGCCTCAGCCTCCCAAGTACTGGGATCACAGGCATATGTCACCACGCCTGACTTTAAAAAGGTAATTTTGTAATAATCATCTCCAAGAAAAAATGTAAACAGAGCTCACAATACAATTTTAGTGAAAAAAGTACAAAATTTTATCAGATGCCAAAAAATATTCAAAATAACAGACACATAAACATAAGCAAAGAATATTCATTGTACGTCAATGATTATTTCCAGATAAAAGCAGCACAGGGCTGGGGTGGTTTCACATTTCCCCTGCTTATCATCACCCTCTCTGTCACGAACACCTATGTTTTCCTGTTACCCGACCTCTTCGGAGAACAGGAAACAGTGAATGAAGGTCTGGGTCTGAGGCGGACAGGGCACCGCACAGCTTGGGCGAGCACTGGCCACGTGGCACGGCGGGGCAACCCAGCTGCGCCCCACGCAGGCCCACACCCACCCAGCCACAGGTGGAACGGCGGCGCAGAAAGGAGGCAAGCCACGCAGAACAATGTTTTCCAGCCCCGCTTCTCAGGCAGCGCAGTCTCTGTGAGATGAGGAAGTAAACACGCAACTGAGACCCAGGCTGAGCACCCACAGAAGGAGAGGTGCCCTCTGCACGCCGCACTTTAGGAAAGCAGAGCACTCACCTCCCGGCCTCGGGTGCAGCTCCAGCAGCTCCTCCAGGCCCAGCTTGCAGCTGTCTGCGCTCTGGACGGATGTCAGCATCTCTGGGTCAGAGCCCTGTGGAAGAACAACACTTGGTCCTTAGCTCACAGCCAGGCTGCTAGGAGTTGACGTCCCACACACAGACGCACTCCCTTCCTTTCCCCCCAATGCCTGGGCTGTGGCAGGGAGGTGGGTGATGGGAGACAGGCTTAAATTCTGACTCAAGTCAGCCGGCAAGCAGCGCCTGATTGCACAACCTTGAGCCGGGCATGGCAGCTCATGCCTGTCATCCCAGCACTCCAGGGAGGCTGAGGCAGGAAGATCATAAATTCGAGGCCAGACTAGGTTACATTGTGAGTTCAAAGCCAGCCTGAACTACACGGTGAGAACCTGTCTCAAAAAACCAAAAGAGAGTAAAACGTCTGTTCCATGGGTGTTTAATTACACAAGAACACAGTTAAGGCCCGGGCCTGCCCAATAATGAGCTCCACGTATACCTGCCTGACATCTCAGGTCTCAGGAAAGCTATGTGGAGTGCGAAAGTTCTTGATCCATGAAAAGCTGCCACAGCACTGCTTAATGTTAATGGGATATGTCCAAAACACAGACAACGGAGCCTTTGCTTAGCGGCATGAGAACAGTCCCTGGCAGAGGCACGCTGCTGCAAGCAGAGACATGGAGAGGCAGCGCGTACCTCAGGGCTGATGATGGTCCAGCCGCAGGAGGAGTCACTGTCGCTGGAATTCTCAGACATCACTCGGGTCTACAACAAGAACACAGACTGTGGGACATGTCTTTACAACTCATCGGGACGCGCAATGGTGATGACAGAATATAACGAGTGGCTCGCTACCTTCCAGATAGAGCCAGGACAGCACCCTGCCCACCCAAGTCCCACCCCGGCCATGGCAGGACACGCAGCACGTGACCAGCACGAGCAGGCTGAGGACAGGGAAGCGCAAGCAGGTATCAACTCAGCCACTCAGAGACCCCTTAACAAGGATGTGGGATTGCTGTCGTTATGGGAGCTCAATTTTTAAATTTGGCAACTTTTAATTCAGTCGTAAAAATATACTCTTGGTGGGGCTAGGAATTCAGCTCAGTAGCACCGTACCTTCCTCACAAGCCTATGGTCCTCAGTTCTAGCCCTGTACCCCCCCCACCCCAAAAAATATATACCCTGGGACAGGGAATGCAGCTCAGTGGCACAGCGCCTGCCTGGCTAGCGTGAGCCCCTGACTTTGATTCCTGGTACTAAAAAAAGGATGAAATGAAATTGTAAACACGAAAACTAGTTACCATTTTACATAGTATTCATTCTGCAGTCTTTTGGATGTGTTCTGGGAAGAAAAAATGTTTTGTCCTAAAAGTTTTCTTCAAGTTATCTTATAAATTTATCGGTATATAAACTGGTTGGGCCCTCATTAGTTTAATAGAAATCAAACATGCTGGCCCAGTGGTGCCACCACCTGCCTCACAAGTGCAAGGTCCAGAGTTCAATCCAAAAAAACAAAAGCAAAAACAAAAACAAAAAAAAATCAAACATGAGTTTGTGAGCTCACCTGTCAGCACCATGCACAAAGGTATAATAAAACCTCACTTAAGTCTTGACAGTGCTTGGGATCAAACCCAGGACCTTGTGCATACCAGGCAAGCACTACCACCAAATTACAGTACCTCAGCCTCTGTAGTCCTAATTACCCTATTATACTGATCTGTAAACAACATATTACATTTTATAAGTTGGAAGCTAACTTGGCAACTCAGTGAGACTCTGCATCACAATAATAAAAAGGGCTGGGAATGAAGCTCAGTGGTAGGCTGGCCCCAGGTTCGATCCCCAATACAGGAAAAAAAAAGTATTTGCAATATAATTATGTGTGTAAATTTTCAACTCTATTACTTGTAGAGTCAGCAGGGAAATTTTATTTTTATTTTTGGTGGTACTGGAGGTTGCACCCAGAGCTTCTGCACTGAGCTCCATCCCAAGCCCTTTTAAATTTTTATGAGACGGGGCCTTGCTAAGTCATATTGTCCACACTGACTGAACTTACAATTTTCTTTCATCAGAGTAGTAGGATACAAGCAGGTGCCACCAGGCCCAGCTAGGAAAAAAAGATTTAAGTGCAAAGGCAAAACCCAGTTGAGTGCAGTGAATAACACACATCCAAGCATCCCCTGTGTGGTGTTTTCACGTCAAACGGCTAGCTGAGCAGCCTACACTGCTTACCATCTGGGGCCAGCTGGAGGCACACACCTGCAATCCCAGCTACTCAGGAGACCTGGGTAGGAAATGCACAAGTTCAAGCCCAGCCTAGGCAATTAATTTAGCAAGACCCTTCTCCAAAAACCTTCCTAAAGGGATGGGGACACCAGGCATGGTCGCCCCGCCTGTAATCTCCTGCACTCTGAGGCTGAGGGAGCAGGACTGGCTAAAGAGACACTGTCTCAAACACAGGAGGCCACGTATGTGCCTGTCTGCCCGCCTGCTAAGGGGGAGGCCCAGTCCACACCCAGCCCTGTAAACACCAGTTTGCTATCTGGACTTCTGGTGAGCTGAGCCCAGAGCAAGGGTGCAAGAGTCGTGGGTTCCGTGGCTGTCCTGCTTGCCAGTCACCTCTAAGAGTTTGAAGAACCCAGCTGGGGCAAGCAGGTGCCCAGTCCCCAGGAGTGGACTCTCCGAGGGAGCTCGAAAGCAGCAGCTGGGAAAGGAGGAACAATCCCACCACCTACTCTCAGAAAGAGCAACACGGCTGCTGTGGAAACCGACATTTTCTGCTAAGTAAGAGCAGTAAGCCAGTACTCGACTACTTCACAAGTTCCCACCAAAAGGCAACCCCTTCAAATTGGAAACTAAAGCATCCACTGCCAGTTGAAGCTAAGTGCCTCCTCTGCCCAAGTCCTCAGCCATCTCTCTGGTGTGCTCCCAGCTCCGGGGGCGGAGGCGGTGCAAGTTATAGCCCAAGCGGTCCCTGGGGGACGTCCAGTCACCTGATGAGGGAATAAGAGGTGATGAAAGAATAACACAGAGGGCTGGGATTTAGCTCATTGCTGCCACACCTGCCTCATAAGCCCAAGGTCCTGAGTTTGAGCCCTGGTACAAAAAATAACAATATACAAAGGACAAGGAATAAAGAATAACAAACAATAATTTATTACTTGGGGAGCCAGGACGGACCTTTGGCTCTCTCCTGGCTTAAGACCACCTGATCTTAACTGTGAGGGCTCAGGCCATGAGCCCTGGATTAATGATTATACAAACACAGCACGGGGGTGTGAGGCAGATGTCGGGACCGCAGAACGAATGCACTGAGGAGCCCGGCTGTCAAAGGGGAGCAACTGTGTATACCTGTGGGAGACAGGTCACAGTTAACAGCCGCCTGTATTCTGGCCAATGCTGGATCTTACAGAATGGTTGCAGTCATGATTCCTCAGCTGCAGTTTCCTCCTTGATCACCGAGACCATAGCACAGGGAACTCCACCTTCACACACCAGGTCCATCAGCAATTCACACCTGGCCGTGGAGTGGCTCCGTCTCAATCAACAGCATGCCTGATCACAGGACGACTGAACAGCAACCCGCTTTACTGTGGCACTGACCCTGGTCGTCCGTGCAGATGTCACCTGTGTTCACCATCCAGCTTCACGCAGTCGTGCCAGCCCCAACCCCAGCATGCGGTCTTCCCCTCGCTGCCACCTCGACCTGACCAAGACCAGGGTCCACTCCCACCCTCCCCAGGAGAGGCACAGCCCACTCCTCACCGCAGCTCCTGCGTCCCCGGAGCTGTGTCTCCCGGAACCTGGGACCTCAAACTTAACGCTGCATTAACTCCAAGTCCCAGTGAGAGCAAGAGGAAGGCAGCCAGCTGCGAGCCGCAGATGCCGGATTGAAACAAAAGCTGAAGCCCGGCCCTAGAAGTCTCAAAGCACAGCGGCCCTGAGGCCTGGAGTGCAGGCTGCTCTGGGGTCAGCGCCACCAGGAACCCACGAGCCCACGCGACTCCCATCAGGCACCACAGCACCCAGTAAGTGTGACAGCAGCATGCAATGCCACCTGGGGCTGGGGGAGGCCCCGAACCCGAGGCAACGCCCCTTTCCCACAGCATCCTGGCACTATGAGCCAAAAGTGTTATTTTCGGAAAAGTGTTTCAGAAAAACATTCTGGATTCACATGATAAGAGTAATTTATGTTATTTATTTTTGAATACCTCATCAAAAAATCCTAGGTTTAGATTCCTATACATTAACGCTATTTTTTAAATTCTTCAATTATTAATCCGATGTATCCCTTCAGACAGTACACGGACAAACTTCATCTCAGAAGTCAAACTGACAGACGACTTGTTCAAGTTTATCTGGTATAAAGCCCTGGACAAGACCTTTAGACTCAATTCTGTTGTTCAGAGACAGGAGGGCTCGCTTATAGTTCAGCCTGGCCCTGAACCTGCAGAGATCCTGCCCTGGGCTCCTGAGTACTGAGGCACCAGCTGGCTATCGTGATTCCCTCCAGTAGCCATCACCTCTGTATCTGCCATAACACCCTGACTGCTGACAAATCTCAATTAACCTTGACTCTGACCTTCAACAACCGCGAAACTACAACAGCGGTGAAATTAACATCTGAATCCTACTTGGAGATTCTCCAGCCTCTGCCTCAAAGTGCTGGGATTAAAGGGAAACAAAGGGTGCACCACCCAGCCCAGCCAGAGACTGATATTCTTAACTGTTTTAACCCAGCAAAATCTGTAGAACACCAGGAAGGAAACTCTTGAATATGCAATTGCTATAACTTGGCAACTTCCTCTCCTTAACCACACAAACATACAGCCCAGCCTGGTAGTTCTGCACCGTGAGATGAGTCTGTAGCTTTTGCTGAAAGCACCATGGCTGAACAGTTAGTTACACTTATGATTCCAGCAGTTCACACTCACCTAATTTTTAAAAGCTTTTAACCTGAATAAAAATACGATATTAGATAACAGCACCGCGGAATAAACTAATAAGTCAGACTTATTAAGCAATTATGATTTCTTATGCCCTGTGAATGAACACAAAGCCTAATAATGTATTAAGCCAACACAGTACACAAAATACAAAATTAAAAAGTAGAAAATATTGAAAAGGAAATTTGGAGAGCCAGGGATTTAGCTCAGTGGTTCCACTGCCTGCCTCACAAGCACAAGGGCCCAAGTTCAAGCCCTGGCACACAAAAAAAAAAAGAAATTTGGAGATGGCAATCTCAGAAAATAAAATACAGGAAGAGGAGGAGATGTAAAAAGACTTCAGGTATTATGAGAATGCACCAACTTCCTAAGATGAATGTAATAATTATGTACTGCAAATATGCATGAATAAAAATATTTTTATAAAGAAAATACATGAATAGCATTGCTCCCAAAACCAAAATAGTTTATTAGGAGTTAATGGATAATCCCAGCTACTAGGTAGACTGAGGCCAGACTGACAAATTTACTGACAGCTTGTCTGAAAAATGAAAGAGGGCCAGGAATGGCAGCGCACACCTGTAATCCCAGCACTCGGGAGACTAAGGAAGGAGGATCTCTGTGAGTTCGAGACCAGCCTGGGCGACATACTGAGCTCCAAGTCAGTTTCAACTACATAGTGAGACCCTGTCTCAAAAAACCCAAAAAAATAAAAAATAAAAGAGAGCTGGGAATGTAGCTTAGGGGTGAAGCAGTTGTCAGCATTAGTGAAGCCCTGCATTCTAACTCAAGCATCAAACCAAAGAGTCCACACAAATGGAAGCACTACAGTCTCTTATGAAGTCTTTTTTCTTTCTGTTTGTTTTGTTTGTTTTTGAGACAGGGTCTCACTATGTACTTGAGACTGACCTGGAACTCACCATGCAGCCCATGCTGGTCTCAAACTCACAGTGATCCTCCTGCCTCAGCCTCCCAGGTGCTGGGATTACAGGTGTGCACCACCACGCCCTGCCTGAGGTCTTTTTTCTAAAGAAAATTTAAAAAATATAGGTACAATAAAAATCACTTACAGCTTCAAGCACAATCACTCCTGGAACTGTGAGCATGATTTCCCACAGAAGTACAGAGTGTGTGCCCAGCATCCACAGGGTCCTTGGGTTCAACCTCCAGGTCAGGAACAAAAAAGGATCACTTTCTGTTCTGTGGTTTAGCAAACAGAACAGGTTCCTTCCTCAGCGCTGAAGGAGATGGAAACAGAAGAATCACAAGTTCCAGGCCAGCCTGGGCAACTTCATGAGACTCTGCCTCAAAATCCGGAAAATGGGTAGACGCCACTGGGCTGACTCTGTAATACCACAAAAACACACCAGAAGAAAAAGACCACTAGTCTTCATTATTTGTTTAGGGTCTTTTGGTTTTGTTTTAGTACAGGAGAATGGAACCTTGTGCTTGTCAGGCAGGTGCAGCACCACTGAACTAAATCCCTGGCTGCTCAGGTGTTTGAGACAGGGTCTTGCTGTGTAGTTCAGGCTGGCCTCAAACTTGAAGCCTCAGACGTTTTGGGATTATAGGCATGTGCCACCACACCCGCTGAAACCACCTTTAAAACTGCACTATTCCCTCACCTGATTTTAAATTATTTCTCATACCCCTCTTATTTTCTAGGAACAATTTTTAATAGCTTAATGCAAATGAATTAATACAGCTTCACTTTCCAAGTCCCTTCCCCTGAGCTGAACTCAAGAAAGAAAATCATGCACACTAGCTAGGTGTTAAAAAAAAAAAAATCTGCTGAGAAATGTGGAGTCTAGAAAGATTTAAACCCACACATCTAAAACAAATAAATAACCCACACCTATAATCCCAGCATTCCTCAAGGCTGAAGACTGCCAAATTCAAATTCAGTCTCAGCAACTTAGCACGTAACTATGTCAAAATAAGATTTTAATAATTTAAAGGGACTGAGATAAAGCCCCACGTGTGAAGGCTTTGGCTTCAACCCCAAGTACAGAAAGAAAAAGACAGACAGACAGGAGGGAGGAAGGGAAAAGAGAGAAGATATGCTGTGCATTCGCAGCGACATTTCAAGCACTATCCAGTGGCTGTGACCTTATTGGAAAAGGATAACTATTCCTAAAATTGCAGTATAAAAATAGTTACCTATTCGGGCCTTAAGAAAGCTGCATTCTGTTTAAAAAAAAAAAAAAAAAAAAAAGCCCAAGCAAGCAGGGCCGTGTAATCCCAGCCAACTTCAAGGCCAGCCTGGGCTACAGTGAATTCAAGTTCAGCCTGAACTATACCGTGACACTACTGAAAAAGGTTAGTAGGGCCAGGGATTTAGCTCAGTGGTGCCGCCGCGTTCCTCACATAGGCAAGGACCTGAGTTCGATACCCGGTTAAAAAAAAGGTTAGTAGAGTGGGGCAAATTTCTCCATGCAACAAAGTACCTTAATTAGCACAGTTCCTCAAAATTGCACGGTTAAACCGGGCGTGGTGGAGCACGCCTGCAATGCTGCACTCTGGAGGCAGAGACAGGAGGATCGCTGCGAGTTCCAGGCCAGCCTGAACCACACATCAAAAGTCTGGCTCATAAAGAGACACCCGCCCCCGAAAAACCCTCAGGACTGTAATCCCCGCTCCTAGGGAGGGTGCGGCAAAAGGACCACAACTTCAAGACCAGCCCCTGGCAATTTAGCGAGCTCTCTCGAAAAACTTAAAAGGCCTGCGGATGTAGCTGAGAGAAAAGCCCTGTGCTGCAAAATGAAACAGGAAAAGCAGCGCTCGTGAAGGCAGCGCCGGAGGGCGCCCCTCTCGGGGCAGCTGGCGGCGAGGCCGGGACCGCGGAGGGCAGGGG